ATACCACAAAGGTTTAATCTCCAAAATATACAAAGAACTTACACGACTCCACTCTAAGAACACAACCAACCCAATTAAAAAATGGGAAAAGGACTTGAACAGACACTTCACCAAGGACGACATACAGAGGATCCAGGGACACATGAAAAAGATGCTCAATATCACTAGCCATCAGAGAGATGCAAATTAAAACCACAATGAGATACTATTTTATACCAGTCAGGATAGCTATCATAAACAAAGCAACAAACAACAAATGTTGAAGAGGTTATGGGGAAAAGGGGACCATAGTTCACTGTTGGTGGGATTGCAGACTGGTACAACCATTATGGAAAACAGTGTGAAGTTTCCTCAGAAAAATAAAAATCGACCTGCCTTTTGACCCAGCAATTCCACTGCTAGGATTATATCCTAAGAATCCTAAAACATCAATTTCAAAGAACCTATGCACCACAATGTTCATAGCAGCACAATTTACAATAGCCAAGAGTTGGAAGCAACCTAGGTGCCCTTCAGTAAATGAATGGATCAAAAAATCGTGGTATATATACACAATGGAATTCTATGCAGCAGAGATAAAGAAGGAGCTACTACCCTTTGCAACAACATGGATGAAACTGGAAAGCATTATGCTGAGTGAAATAGGCCAGGTGTTGAAAGACAAATACCATATGATCTCACCTTTAACAGGAAGCTAAACAACAAAACAAACAAGCAAGAAGAATAAAAACAAAAGACACTGAAATAGAGAATAGGGGAACAGTGACCAGAGGGGAAATGGGAGGGAGTTAAAGGGGAAAAAAGGGGAGGGATTTGGAGGAACAAGTATGAAGGACACAAGGACAAGAACTAAGGGGGGTTGAAATGGGAGGGAGGTGGGAAGCACAGGGTGGGGAGCACAGGGGTTTGGCTGGGATGGATGAAATAGACAGAAAACTGTACTTGAAAAATAAGTAAATTAAATTTTTTAAAAAATGGTCAAAGGACCTGAATAGATATTCCTCCAAAGAGGACATACAGATGGCCAATAGACTCATGAAAAGATGCTCAACATCACTAGCCATCAGAGAGATGCATCTTAAAATAATAATGAGATATCACTTTATGCTTGTCAGAATAGCTATCATCAATAAATCAACAAACAAGTGTCGGTGAAGATGTGGAGAAAAGGGAATTATCATGCACTCTTGGTTAGAATGCAAATTGGTGCAGCCATTACGGAAAACAGTATGGAGCTTCCTCAAAATATTAAGAATGGTATTTTAAAAGGGGAGAAAGGTTTCCAGGTGCATCCTTGAACAGAGCTGGCAAGGGGTGGAGGGGTTATTGGCCACTGGGTGTTTTAATGGGAATGGACTTTGAGGCAGAAATCCATTATTCTTCCAAAATTGTATAGCCTTTAAATAAAGACCTCCTTTGATTTTTCACCAAACCTCTGCCTCTGTAGTTTATGGGTGGTGGGCAGCAGAATTCTACATGGCTATATAGTAACAATATCTCTCTTTTCCAATTTAGGAAAGAAATTCAAGTGTTAATAGTGTCACCTAAATAGTGACACTAGTAATTTAGTTTTTATACTGATAGTTGAAGAACAAATAATTCAACATTCTCACCAAGACTAACTTAAGGAGATAGATATATCTCCTTTAGAGAAGCATTTTTTCTTTTCTATTTAGGTAGTAGCTTCACATCTTTGAACATCACTGAGCAAGTGATTAGTGTGATTTACTGATAAATTAATTACAAAATGCATTTTTACACTACCTCCTTTACAATTGGCAAGTTCATAGAATGAAGAAAACAACTCTGGAGTACTCCAATCTGTCCTGTCCATCTTAATTCAAACTGTCCGTTTGACCTGGGGAAACTCAATTCTTAAACCTTCTCTCCAGACTTGACTTCTGAGCTTCAGAATGATGTTTCCAAATGAACATCCTAAAGGCACCTCAATCTCCATGGGCCCAAGACAGGAATCATCTTCATCCTTAACATAATTTTCAGGCTATCACTTTGCTTCATTTATAGGCCTCAGAAATCTGGGAGCAAATCTTACCTTTCAGGCATACCCCTTCTCCAACCCTAAACTCATCCTGTGTCATCCATCCATTCTACCCATTCCACATCCCTCCTTTTTCATTCCTCTTGCTCTAATTCATGACCTAACAGCTGTAACCATAGCCTTAGAAACAGCAGCTTCAACTCCAGGCTGTTCTCAATCTCACATGTTCCCTGTACTCTTTCTTGGGAGTAATCTTGCTAAAACATTATCATCACATTATGCCTCTGCTCCAAAATTGTTTAATGCTCACTATTGCTTATAGAATAATGCCCCAACTTCATGCTTTTACTGAAAACCATAATCCACCTCCTAACTCCCTTCTAGTCTTACTTCCCATCCTATCCCTCTAGAAGCCATCTCTGCTGGTTTCCTATGCCTAAAAGAAGACCTAACTTCTTTTGCCTTTCTGCCCTTGGCCTTGAATACTCTTCTGATGTATCTCTCTTCCTAAGTCCCCAGTGTCATTCAGTGGCAATATGAGTAAGCCACATGTTACTATGAGCTGGGCCATTTCATGATCCCATGTGTAGGTGCATCTTCCTAATCACTACATTTTATTAATGAGGAAGTAGAGGCTTAGAGCAACCTACTGTAGTGCTTTTAAAATATGTCTGTACGTGCTTTGATACTCCTCCCTCCGAAAGGTGGAGCCTAATTCCTCTCCGGTTGAATGTGGTACTTGAGCTGTACTTAGGGACTCCTAACAGAATATGGTAGAAGTGGCGTCTAAGACTGAGTTATAAAAGGCATTGCAACTTCCTTCTTGTCTCCCATTCTGAAGGATGCCCATCACCCTACTGTGAGGATACTCAAGTAGCCAGTGGAAAAGCCCATGAGAAGAAAGCCTGAGGCCTTCAGCCAATAACGATCACCAGGTATGTGAGCTATTTTAAAAGTGGCTCCTTTAGGCTCCACCAAGCCTTCTTATGCCTGCAGCCCCTGTGACATCTTAACTGTAACCTATGAGAGACCCTGAAATGGAGCCACCCAGCTAAGTTGCTCCCAAATCCTGACCCACAGAATATAATAATAAACATTTACTGTTTAAGCCAGTAAGTTTTAGGGTAATTTGTTATACACTAATAGATAGCTAAAACACTTACCCAGAGTCATGAAACTAGTAAGCAGTAGAGACTTAAACACTGAAGTTTCGGCTCTTAACCCCAACCTATCACTGACAGAAGTGCTAGTTTACATTTTGTTTACATAACCACCCAGTCTTTAAAAAACCTTGACAGAATTTCTCCATTAAAACTGACCTTCTTGCCATCTTTATATTTAAGCCCTCCTTAAAATGCCCATTCAGCATGTTCCTGCCCCAACAATTCCCATGTTTGCCTAAATTCTCCCTCTCTCCATTTTCAACTTTCCAGCTCTAGACTTTCAGCTTTAGTACCTACATCCTAGTGCTGTGAAATTAAATGAGATAATATGCATAAAAAGGGCTTAGCAAAGTAATAGTTCGATTACACTATTTATTTAGACACAGCACTTCCTCTGCTATGTGAACAAGGTCTCAATTCTGTATTGTATATCAGAATCACTTAGGGAACTATGTAAAGAAAAACAACAAAAACAAAAACAATGCCCGGGCTATACTCTGAATTAATAGGTCTGATTTAATAAGTCTTGGGTGAAACCAGGCAACAAAAGATCCCCAGATGATTTTAGACTGTTGGATTAGATCAGAGGCGATTTTACTCTCCCCTCCCATTGCCCCCAGCCACATGTTCCAACAACTGCTAGTGTCTGGAGACATTCTTCATGGTGAAGACAGCGAGGGTGCTCCTGGCACATAGTGAATGGAGGCTACAGATGCTGTGAAACACCCTGCAGTGCACAGGACTATCCCCATAACAGAGAAGTGCCCAGTGCTAAATGTCAATAATGCTGAAGTTTGAAAATCCTGGATTAGCTACTGTTTTCTGGCTGTTGCGCTCATTCTCCTTAAGAACATTGGCTCCTACTTGCCCCTCCAACTCCTCCTCTCAAGGGCACCCTCAAGAAGAATATAGCACCTGACTTCTTGCCACTCAAGACCGAATGTGGGCACCAACCAGCTTGGCTACTGCCCCAAATGAGCTGGCCCTGGGCCTGCCAGGAGGGCCTGGGTGTGGTCTTGTGCCTCCCACTCCTTGTAGTGCTTTGCTATCATTTGAATTACAATACTCACTACAGAAATACTGCTAGTTGTAAACACCTCTCTCTCATTCCAGGGGCTGGAGCCATAATTTTATTCATCTCTGCTTTCTCCACAGTACCAAAGGGTATGCCTTGCACTTGGTAGGTATTCAATAACTATTTATTACATTGATTTAAATTAGTATCATTTTAATTTTTATGATGCCAAGAATGGTGATACAAGTGTTCAATAAATGTCAGTTGCCATCATCATCTTTGCTACATCACTGATGCAAGGTAGCTCACATAAAATAATATTACTAATTTTATATGATATAACTTAATTGTATATGCCTAAATAACAAATTTTAAGATTCTGGAATAATGTACTAGACTTCAAACTGATTACTTCTGTGAGACTCAGATTAGAATGGGTCAATTTATCTGTCAAGTTTGAAGATTTCAAATATAGAACTGAAGCATATAACTAAAAATTAATAGAAAAGTTTAATCCTATTTCCTGAGGCATAATAACCTTTGGGGTGGGAGTGGGGAGTGAATGAGAAGGGAGGGAATGAGAGGGAGAGTTCTTATGAATTCTTATGAATTGCTTAAAGTTTTCTATTTTACTTCTGAAGTGCTTTTTGGATAGATGCGCTTAGCCTAGAGTAAAAATAACAAGAGACAAGGGCCACAGACATGACTGACTTGGGGGCATGGATGGATTACATGAGTTAGTTCTCTTAGACTAGAGAAAACTATCATTAACACAATTTTAAAATTAGGAATAAATTATTCAAAGCCTTATGTCAGTACTTACTGTTGCTTCAGCCACTGCTCCACAAATGGAATGGAGAAGAATTCTGTGAACAGCTTCCCTGTCCTCTTTGGATTTTGACTGGTCATGATGCCATATGTTTGATTGACAAGAAAACAATAACCAAGAATTCAAGTCAATTGTTGCTATTTGCTTGTAGATTAACACTACTGACTCTTTAGGGTCATTGAATACTCATGAAACTTACTTGTATAACCACTCAGTCAGAAAATCACAGGCAATGAATTTGCTTCTTTTCCTCTAAAAAGAGAAGAATTAAATTATATTGTTTGTTTGAGCAAGATAAAAGAAGAGCAGCTGATAGCTTATATTAGATGAAGTATGCATGGATGCTCTATGAGGACTACAAGCACATCAATAAATATTAAGTCAGGTAAGAAAGAGTTCTGAAGACATCTATCCAGTCATTTTTGGATAAGCATGTTTTCTGACAGAAGGGGCTATTAAAAGATAGTGTCCATAGTAGGGAGCTTACTATATGCTTTTAGAATTTTCTCACAAGGACTTTATTTAAATCTAATTTATTGCTTTGCTCCAGTCCACTAAAATCCTCAGAACAGCATTACTGCAGGTCTGAGTACCACTTCTTTAAAATATATTTTATTAATTACACCATTACAGTTTGTTCTATTTCCCCGCTTCATTCCCCTCCACCCTGCACACCCCCTCCCCCACCATTCCCCCCTTTAGTTTATGACCACGTTGTTTCAAGTTCTATAGATTCTATACTTCTCATACTATTCTTGCCCTCCACCCTATCTATTTTCTATGCTACTTATTTTCTGTATGTTCTCCCCCTTCTCCTTCTCCCACTCCCCTGTTGATAACCCTCCATGTGATCTTCATTTCCATGGTTCTGCTCCTGATCTAGCTGTCCTCTTAGTTTGCTTTTGTTTTAGGTGTGGTTGTTAATAACTGTGAGTGTGCTGTCCTTTCACTGTTCATGTTTCTTTAACTTCTTTTTCTTAGATAAGTCCGTTTAACATTTCATATAATAAGGGCTTGGTGATGATGAACTCCTTGAATCTGATCTTATCTGAGAAGCACTTTATCTGTCCTTCCATTCTAAATGAAAGCTTTGCTGGATAGAGCAGTCTTGGATGTAGGTCTTTGGATTTCATGACTTGGAATACTTCTTTCCAGCCCTTCTTGCCTGTAAGGTCTCTTTCGAGAAGTCTGCTGACAGTCTGATGGGAACTCCTTTGTAGGTGATTGTCCCCTTAGCTCTTGCTGCTTCTAGGATTCTCTCCTTCATTTTAATTTTGGCTAATGTAATGATGATGTGCCTTGGTGTGTTCCTTCTTGGGTCCAACTTCTTTGGGACTGTCTGAGCTTCCTGGATTTCCTGGAAGTCTATTTCCTTTGCCAGATTGGGGAAGTTCTCCTTTATTTGTTGAAATAAGTTTTCCACTCGTGGCTGTTCCTCTCCCCCTTCTGGTACCCTATAATTCAGATGTTGGAATGTTTAAAGATGTCCTGAAGGTTCCTAAGCCTCTCCTCATTTTTTTTGAATTCTTGTTTCTTCATTCTTTTCTGTTTGGTCATTTTTTTCCTCTTTCTGGTCCACTCCTTTGATTTGATTCCCACTTTCCTTTCCATTACTATTGGTTTCCTGTGTATTTCTCTTCATTTCAATTAGTTTAGCCTTCATATGTTCCTCTAATTTGTGACTAAAATCAACCAGTTCTATGAGCATCCTGATCACCAGTGTTTTGAATTGTGCATCTGAAAGTTTGGCTATTTCTTCATCGCTTAGATTTATTGGCTCTGGGGCTCTGAGCTGTTCTTGAGCCACATTTTGATCTGTTTGTGTCTGTTACGTATGAGGAGCAGAGCCTTAGTTGTTCACCAGGGTGCGGCCACCCAGGTTGCTGGTTTGCGACGCTGTCTGTGGGGGCATGGTCAGAGAGGGGCAGTGGTGGTTCCCACTGCTGCTTCCTGCCGCTGGGGCCTGTGTGGTCTGTCTCTCTGCTAGCTCCTTCACTGTTTTATCTGCGCGCGAATGTGTGACCACGGTCTGCCCTCAGTGGGTTCGCGTGCTTCTCCACACCTGAGATCCACCCACAACTGCTGGTGCACCTGGGTCGCATGCCCGGGTGGGTCTGGTGTATCTTTCCTGCCCAACCCCGCTCTGCTGCTGGCTCTGCCCCTCTTGCCGGTTTGGCTGAAGGGTTCGTTGTTGTCAGACTTCCATGTAGTTCAATTTTCTGTGGTTTGGCTGAGTTTTTGTTGCTAAAACTTTGTTGTTTTTAAACTTGGTTGTGCAAGAATGCACAGTGTTTCCACCTATGCCTCCATCTTGGCGGAAGTCGGAAGTTCTTTGATGAGTACCACTTTTGAAAGTGGTAACCAGGCACACAGGTGCCATTAGCCAGTACAGTTGACCCTGACAGTTGTCTACTCAATAGCCACTCTCTACTTCATTTTTAATTGCTTGTAGAGAGAGAGAGATATATCAGTTGGATGCCTCCCGTATGCACCTGGACAGGGGATCAAACCCACAACCTAGGTATGTGTTCTGACCAGGAATGGAACCTGTAACCTTTCAGTTATAGAATAGCACTCCAACCAACTGAGCCACATCAGCCAGGTTTCTATTTCATCTTTATTAATTCTTTATTAATAGCAACCTGATCGACGATCAGTTCAGGTGAAGAACTACATTTTCCTGCCTCCTCTAGGAAAGGGCAGCCAAATGACACAGTTCCACTTTATGACACAGAAATAGATATCCTCTAGATTCCTGAGAAAGTTCTGCTCTTTCACTTCAGTCTGGAATACAAATGTAAGGTGGGAAGTGGAGCAACACCTCTTAGCCATGAGGCCAAAAGCCACATGCTAAAGATGGTGGAGCCGTTTGTTAGAAGTAGCCTGGGCCTTTGATGACTTAAGTCACGGTACCAGCCTGGGCTTGATGTACTCTGGACATCTTGATATGCAAGGAAAAAATAATCTTCACTTGGATTACTACCACTGTTGTTGCGTTCTCATAACATGCAATTGAATTCAGTCCCTAGATGACAGATAGCTAGTAAACTATAGGGGAAAACTATGCTGGGAATAATGGGGGAGAAGGCATGCTGAGAAGGGCATTGGGGTGAAACACCAGGTATCCTGCTTCCTAGGACATTTAAAGTCTCTTGTAACCCAGACAGAGTCAGTTAATTCCTTTTAGAGAATTGTTATTTAAACTGGGAGACAGAGCGACCCTGCCTCTCCTTCTAAGATGGCATGGGCTAAGAACAAAGTAAATCTAAAAGTTGCCACATGTACAGATCCCTCCCAAGAATGAAGGCATTACAGGGACTGATGGAAAAATATTTCTTTGCTCCTCCAGGTCTACCCTTCTCCACCCTGCTGCATGCGTTAGGAGGCTCATTTTATGGTTCACATAACTGGGCTCCTTTACTCTCTAGTTGGGCCCTACCAATGGTCGGTATCAACAGGAGATCTGAGAGAGAGGAGAGAAAAAGGCAGGGTGTCAGGGTTTGAACTATGTCCCCACCTGTCCAATTCATATATTAAAGCCCTAACCTTTGGTAATGCAGAATGTGATATATTTGGAAAGAGAATAATTACAAATATAATTAGTACAGCTCAGCCACTCCTGAAAGACGTAGCAATTCCAAGGAGAGTGAACTAATTTGGTGTTATATTAGCAAGAAAAAAGGGAGGTGCTATTAGGTAGACACCCCAATGGTAGTGTAACAGGGTGCAGCTAAAAGGCGGGCCCCAGAAAAGGATTTGGGATGGAATCCAGAGCTCAGGGGGTCCAAGAAATATTAAGATGTCCTCACTTCTCCCCCCTGCCCCCAGGGGGAAGGAACAAATGGAACAGGGCCATTGAGAGCTGTTTTGCATAGCAACAGTTTTGCAGCTAACCTCTGGAATGATTATTTAACATATCTATAACCTTTAACTGGTTTCATAGATATGTTAAATAGCTGTGGCCAAGTTTTGAGCCAGGGAGAAGGGAGTGACTTCTACCCAGGATGTAACTAGGGGCAGGTCCCCAGGTTACAGTGCCTGCGTGAGAGCTTGGAATTGATTGGCTCCACGCCCAGTAACTGCCCAGACTAATGATGGCAGCCCAGTAAAGCTGGGAGGGTAGGGGAGTCCTGGCAGGTGTAACTGATTGTAGGAGGAGTTGGAAATGGGGCTGCAAAGGAGAATGGGTACGGAGATTTAAACGCAGACGTGGCAGCCATTGGGAAGAGAACCACGCGGTCTCAGCTGAGTTAAGACCCCCCCTTGCCAAGGTGAAGAGAAGAGAGAGCCAGGTGGTCTCAGCTGAGTTAAGACCCCCTCTTGCAGAGGTGAAGAGGAGAGAGAGCCATGCGGTTTGGGGCAGAGTGAGGACCCCTGTAGTCATGTAGGAGAGAGCCATGCAGTATGGGGCAAAGTGCGGACCCCCTCTTTCCTAGGTAAAAGGGAAAACCACGCAGCTTTGCCAGAATGGAGATCCCTGCACCCAGGTGAAGCAGAAAGACATATGCTTTTGGTGGAGTGCGGACCCCTGCAGCTTTGGTAGAAGAGGCCCAGGCAGCTTTAGGGTGCCCCCTTTGGCCACGTGGCCTAGAAAGGAGAGACTTTGACTGGAACTGGGTACAAAGAACTCTTGCCAGTGGACCGTGAGAGGGTGCCACATGACTTTTGGATTAACTAGAGAGAGATCCTGCCTGCACAGTGACACGGTTGACGGTGCCAATGGCCTGAAACATAGATGTGTTCTCTTTTCCTGATTTATGGTACCCAGAGTTGGGACAGTGGGAAAAGGGAGCGCTGTATGTGCATAGGTGTATACCCTAAAAGACTCTGATATTTTAGTGGAGGCATTAGGCCTAAATAACATTAAATAAACATTTCGTTTCCTTTTCACAAATCTCTGGCATTGAGAGATGTCTTTCCAATTGGCGGCGGACAGAAGAGCCCAGTAGATATTAGTATTCTGTCCTTGGGAGGGGTCCCTGTTCTGTAGCAGTTTTTGGTGTCCCTAGGTGGGCCAAATATTGCCTCCCCGCCCCGGGACCTCTTGTTCTGTAACAGTAGATTCCTGGTGAAACTGTACTAAACCCTGGATCCCACTATGCCTGAAACCAAAATCCCCTGGACCTTTCGGCCAATGATTCATTCACCTTTTTTTGTGAAGCCAGTTTGCATAGAGTTTTTTATTGCTTGCAACAAAGAGTTTTGACTATTATTTCTTTCTTCTCCAATTAGCTAAATTCCCATTTGTTCTT